ATATATATATATATATATATATATATATATATGAGCGATGCACTGTATACACTACCACGCTTCTTTAAAATCTTGACGCGACGATTCTACGCAACTTTCCGTGCGGACAATTTAGTCAGTTTTTACGATTTCGTTCGATTCTTCCTCCTTCTTCTGAATAAAATACGTTCGTCTCTATTTCGTTCGTTCGCAAGCTACGTCACTACTCCGTTTATTCGAGCAATCATTCGATTGTTGTTCGCCTCGACAGCTGGCTTTTTTCTTTTATGTGTATTCGATTTCTCGTTGTCGTTGCATTCTCGTTTCGACTGTGTTCGTAGATATCGATGGCTAATGTAACGTCGTTCCACAATAATTTCGCGTTCACGTAGTGGTATGGAAGACCGTTTCACAAAAGAGGTTAGGTGTGTTAAAATTTATGTTTCCGACGAAAAAAAGAATAGGTGAACAAAACAAAGTTATATATGTACTTGATAATCATGTAAATTTTGTAATCGTGTCGAAACTCCACCCAACGCGCTGTCTGAAAACGAACTAATCGTGCGATGTTAGATGACGCGCTGAGTAACTTCTACGATGGCTGCGATGCACAGTGGAACTTCTGGCCTTCTGGCGGTATCAGCGGTTTGCGAGCTCTCAAAGGGGAAAGGTAGTGGTGGGAAAACCCATCGTCCTCTGGCAGGGCCGGCTGCACGTATACACTATGTACTCAATTTAACTTGACATTCTTTAGATAACCAGTTTAAAGAAAGAAAGCCAAATCGGAAAGCCCACGGAGAAATTCCCACCATTATTTACCTCACATCATTTCACAATTTTATACGGAAGTATAATTATACTTTAATGAATTATATCGTTTCTTTAAACGAGCATTTATGTTTTCAATATCATAAATCTTTCGATAATAATGACAGATATTAATAGACACTAATAGATTTTCAATTATTATTTATAGAATTAATTTTCAGAAACTCGAATCAAAGGGATCTCTGATTGAAAGAGGGAATGAAGGGATCTCTGAAGAGAAACGAAAGAAATTTTTCGATACCACCATGCACATTTTCTGTTTTTCTCTTTGCAATCATACATTTAATCACAATTTATCTGCCTATCATTCTTTCTTTCACGTTTATTACTTTTTGGTTAATGTCGAGTATCCAAAGCTTTTACTTAAATCTCTATTTCACATTTAGATGATCAAAAAATTGAATTTGTCAAATATTTTAGATGAGAAAGTGTTCGTTCGCGAACAAGCATGTCAAACGTGTATATGTTTCTGTAGGAAGATGCAGATTTCACTGTTCTACTTTCTTTTTGAATCATCAATTTGTATGATACAAACTCACCGGAAATTCCATTGGCACTTCTTAGAAACTTAATTATATATATAATATACATACCAATATTTACTTATAATTAATTTTACTTTTAGCTAATTTTGAGTATTACTAAGTATACCAAGAAAATGTTGATACGATGCCCTCTCAATTTTGAAAGTAAATCTTAATACTATTCATGGGTGTTTAAATACGGGTTTTTCCAAAAGATAGTTACTAAGATTCGGTCTTAAAACGAAGAGAAATCGTACCCCTTATCGTTTATTATGCAAACAGTACGCCAATAATTCTATAAATCGTAAATGATCTCAATCCTTCTCATCCTCGATGACACGAAATGAATTATGTAATTTTATGAATCATATAATCATTGGTTAATAACGAATAGGATATTTTTGAAAATACTTTGCTTTTCGTTCGTAGCATATGAGCGCAGAGTATAATTATATAAATCTTTCCTTCACTTATCAATTATATGTGTGATTGATAAATAAAATTTAATAATTATATAAATCTTTCCTTCACTTATCAGTTGTATGTGTGATTGATAAATGAAATTTAATAAGAAAAGAAAAATATGACCAAATTTTTTCAACTATCAATAAAAATTCGATGCCAAACCTATCTGGGAAAAACCTATTCATGATAAGCTCACATGAATTATCTTTGTATTGTTCGTGAGTTCGTCGGTAAAATTCACTGGTAGATATACCACTCATTATCAATAATTATTGCACCTTGAATTCAATTTTTGATCTCTATCAAATGCTCTTACGCGATTTGATTTCCAATGTCAATTTTCATCTGTAAAGTGTAGAAGAGTCCTCAATGATAAATAAGTTTCTTAAAGAATAACAATTAACATTGTTGATGTTTGTATTTTATTTTAATGTATCAATTATTAATTAATTATCTACTTGTATTTTAAGTTGGATATGTTGATATTTCAGTCATCCAAGATTGTAAAAAATACGTTTCGAGGATGAAGTAGAAAAAATATTACAACATTATAGTCTCGTTATGTTTTTCAATTTTTTTATGAACCAATCTTATAAATCTTAATATATTAAAAAATATTATTTATTTAATAATTTGCTCATCCAATATTTAGATTGTTTTCAAATAAAAACAAAAATGGAAACAAAATACGAATAATTTATCGAAAAAAAATAAAAATAATCATATATTAAGTGATCACTTACTCGTTTGGAAGTATCTTCGCAATGAATAAAAATCATGCTAGTCGTCAGATTTTATTGATCTCAACTGAATTGTTTGCATCGTCTCCCATTCGTAGGAAATTCTACAAATACATATTTCTAGGTATAATTATTCTAGGTATAAGATTATGTATTAAACATAGATTAAGCATTACGAAACAAATAAAGTAACTAACTTAAGCAAAAGACGTAGTGCAATGTGCGCTGTCAACCGTTTGAATCAACTACGCGGTAGACAAAATTATGTTTACACGGGAAATTCCTAATGAAAGCAGACATAAATATGCGGGCACATACATTTTTTAGTCGTTATTTTGATAATAATTGATCAGATGCTTTCTTCTAAATAAAGTTTTAAACATATAATAAAATACGTAAATACAAATTATATATATATATAACAAAATGTTAATAAAACTTTATTTAGATATATATACAATTGAAATAAACAAGTACTTTTGTTAAGACCATATAATTTTTATTTTTGCAAAATATAAAAATAATATCATGTACTCTTATGTTCAAGAATTCCTTGTCGTATCAGAGGTTCACATACAGATCTTGGTAATAAATGATATGTATTCTTTTTCAATAAAATAACTTGACCATCATCCAGTTCTAATTTTCCAAAATCCTCTACACATTTTACCTAAAATAATGCCACATTTATGTACAATATATTTAACATTTATGTACAATATATTTAACTACTATTAGAAAAAAATTGAATATGGGCTTTGCTTACCTCTACATAAGGAGTTTTTGGAGGCACCATGTTCGTTGTTAGATTAAACCCTTGATCTTCTCCTAAGGATCTCATGTATTTAGCTAAAGATTTATTGTATGACTGAAACCACTGAACCTCAGCATTTATTAGATTGGTATTTATTTCTGGTGGTAGAATGCTTCCTAATTCCCATCGTAATTCTTTTAGTTTCTTCATTCTGTTATATATGTATGCTAAGATACATCTTTTATTCCTTTTTAATGCTAAATGTCTCAACTGTACAGATGGTAATAATGCCATATTATTATCATTCCTAATGACATTGCTGAAAAAAGTTTGTTCAACAATAAGTGTTTTTTAAGTTTTAACTTTTACATTATTATATTTTATAAGAACCTATTTGCCACATTTGCCTCATAGAGAGATTGCATTTCTTGTAAAACTTCTTTAACTAGTGCTTCCTATGAATAAAACATTTTTTCAAATTAGTATTTATTTACATTATTATATCATACTATCACACAACCTACATTAAATGGTAATATATCAGAATATAAATCTAATTCTGATATAAGTTTAAAACCTTTTCTTCCATACATATCTTAAAAATAATATTAAAAATATTATTACAGTGTTAAAAAATTTATACAATACTATTAGTAAACATAGAACAATCAGTATAAAATTTTTAAAATATCAACTTCTGTATACTATAGATTTTAACAATGACTGCATTTAAAAATCATCAGCTATGTTATGAACTAACTTGATTTTAGTGACATCTATAAAATTTTTTCACTAGTTTCTGGTAACTAGTGACATCTTACATCAGAATTATCAGAAAACATTTAGGTTATTGTTACAACAATAAACACTGTTCAAAAAAAACTTTTTTATTAAAATGTTAACACTTAGGAATATTGTTACAAAATTGCAAATACATTCGAAACAAGTAACGTATTGTACAAAGGCTATCGTCGAGCAAACTAGTCCAATTATTTCTAAAAGAAGTTATGAGAATGAAAATTATTTTTACCAAAAATCACGAGAAGTATGGCTAGAAAATATAGATACTATTGAAAGGAAAAAATTAGGGCTTGTGTTTCTACATCCAGATGTTTATGCAGCGTCTCCTAGGATAGATATAATTCAGGAAAATATTCGCTGGCAAAAAATGTATCGCTTTGTGGTGATTATTACATTTCATTAATTACTTCAATTCATTTTAAATCAAGAACTACAAACTAGATACATGAGTAAATTTTTCATTTTAGTGCTATGCACATACAAAAATACGTTCCGAAGTAAGAGGTGGTGGTAGAAAACCATGGCCACAAAAGGGACAAGGTCGTGCCCGTCATTCAAGTATACGTTCTCCATTATGGAGAGGTGGTGGTGTAGTACATGGACCTAGATCTCCTACAACTCATTTCTACATGCTACCCTTTTATACCCGGATAGCTGGACTTACATCTACATTATCTGTCAAATTGGCTCAAGATGATTTGTATATTATTAATGATTTAGAAATTCCATCCAATGAACCTTTATATGTTCAAGAATTAATAGAAAAGCGACATTGGGGTCCTTCAGTGTTGTTTGTTGATACTGATGATATTATGCCTATAAATATCACAGAAGCTACGGATACAATAAAACATGTAAATTTAATGCCTGTATATGGTAAGCTATATTTTGATATATTTTAATGTTATTTTATAGTATTATACATTTATATATTATATATTTATTTTTTAGGGTTGAATGTCTACAGTATGTTAAAACATAATACATTAGTTCTTACAGAAAGAGCTGCGCGTTTAATTGAAGACAAAATATTGTATCATTTACATAGACCAGATTCTCGTAAACTAATGTCAAAATTTAAAGTTAATCAACAATAAAAATTAAAAAATAAAGAATAAAACATTAGTTTATTTCTTATCAAATTATATTTATTTTCTATAACAGTAAATAATTTTTTTACAATAATTCAATATAATTATCAATATCAGTTTTAAATTTATTTTAAATTAAAAATTTCATTCCAAAAAGTTGAACAAACGTCATTTCCTTCTTAATGTTGGCATACTAGTTGATTTTCTAGAAAGTGGCTGCAAATATAAATATCAATGACATTAATGACAATATAATATTGAACTATTATATTTTTATAATTTTAATTATATAAAGACAAGAATTTTTACCATTGGATGAGGATCTTCGCCTAACATTTTTTCACGAATAGCCCATCTTATGCTTGTATGTTTAGCTTCTCCAGGAAAAGACATTTGTTTCCATTTTTGTTGATATTTTTGGTAAAGTAAAACAGGATCAGTCTTTTTAACATTTTTATTTTTTTGAGCTTCCGGTTGCAATCTCCATGGTCTAATAACTAAATTCAAAGAAAATGTGAAGAAAAAATCGTATTTGTATTATACATGAGAAATGTTAGAAATTTACATGATTTTGCTCCAGAACAAGTATTTTTTGTAGATGATGTACTCTTTGTTTGGCTACTTTTAGTATATTCTTGTTGATGTTCTAAAATATTCGGTGCACTCATAGGACGAACTGATTGTAAAGCTGTTGGTTTTTCTTCGAGTGGTATTTTATCATCATGTATTTTTGTTTTGCTTTGCATTTCTACATGGAAATCTTTTTTCAAACATTCTTTGTATTTACTTTTACTTTTGAAATAGATTTTATCGTCTACATTATTATATGATACAACATTAGATTTAACATTGTATTGATCTTGTGCACTTATGGATTTGGATTTTGATTGTATCATATTCATTTTGTGATTTACATTTGGATAGTTCCCTTCAATATCTGTAGGACTTTTGTTTTCTTTGTTACTTGATAACTTTGTCACTTTTACTTTTACAACAGTATCATCAAAATAAGAACTAGAAGAATTAGAGGATACAGTGTTTTCAAATGATCGTAATTCTGTTTTCTGTTCTCTAAGAATTTCCTTAATCATATTCTTTTGTTTATTTATTATTTTTTTCTTAATCTCTTCCTTTTTTTGTTGTTCTTCACGATCTTTTATTTTCCTGTATAACTTTAAATCTTACACCAAGAAAAAAAAATATAAATTAGCAACAATACTTGTTATAATATGCACAAAATGTTTACATATTAACAATTCTAAAATCAAAAAAAGATAGCGATATTACCTTTCATAAATGCTTTAAGTTGTTGAGCGGTAATTCCAACAAATCCTAAGGAATTAAGAAGAACAAGTACTTCTCTTGCATCGTCATTCATTATTAATAAAATAATTGACTTTCAACAATAAATGTTAGCACTCGAAATTGTTCTGTATACTGTACGCAGTATTCAAATGATAGAAACGTTAAAAGTTAGTAGTTTCTCTAGTCATAAATTAGCTATAATCGTTTAGATAGTTGAACACTTTGTTTGAAAAAGATTGATTTAAAAATATTAAAAATTCATTATACATTTTCAATGTTTTCTCATTAACAAATACGAAGTTTAGCTATACAATTTTTTAATAGTTTCTTATTATTTGTATTATTTATGCAATATTTCATTAACCAAAAATACTAAGTGAGTATACACTCTATACAGCAGTTAGAGATTTTCAACTTATGCTTAATGGAAACTCTATCGCCATCTTTTAGAAAGAGTAGTAACTAAGAAGAGCGTCCGGAGAAATTTAAAGAATTATTGGAATGCATTTCAATTGATCATGAAATCAAACGAATTTAAGAAAAAACAAGTAACAAATATTATTTATTATAAATTTTTAATAGAAATAAATAATATAGCTAAATTTTTCTCTCGAATATAAATCTTTCTTTTGTTACGGGACATTCTAAAAACGTTTATACTATAAACAATCGGTATCTGCGCAGAACCTTTCACCTACGCTTGATTTAAGTTTAACGAAGCATATTTAATTGTTCATCAGTCTGAAAACTAATCTTTGTAGAAAATGTCGTCGATCGTGTATACTGTTTTTCTACTTATCACTGTGGCAGGAAAAAGCCGCATTACAGGTAATCATTTTTCTTTCTTTTTAATTATTTAATTAAAAAATATTTTTGACTATAACTGATAACTGATAAACTCAAAGTATACTAAGACGGTTATGACCATGATTGTTTCCCAGATATATACGCTTCAAAAATTTACACATTAGATGTTCCGCTCGTGGTACGTAATGGAACTGGACCAATCGATCTTTCTTGCATTTACAATGTCAGTAAAGACGAGAATGGTCTTGTGATAAAATGGTACCATAATAAGGATCAAATATATCAGTGGATCCCACCAAGTAATTTTAAACATATTTGAATTTTTTGACCAAAGTTATTTCGTACAATATGAGCATGATATTTTTTTCTTTTGTCGTAATTGCAACTATATAGTGCCACCTCAAGATACAGGAGTAATAAATGGATTAGCCGAATATCCTGAACAAAATTTAAAACATTCCAATTCACGATCCATCATACGTTTAAAAATGGCCATAATCGAAATGACCGGAGAATATACTTGTATAATTAGCACCTTTCAAGAAGAGGACATAAAA